CAAATGGTAGACAGGGAATCAAAAGAAAGATTATTTTGTGACAAATGAAAATTATATTAAGTTCAAATTTCAGTGTCTATAAATAAAGTGCAATTCGAACACAGCTGAATAGAAAAATTCAGTCTCCCTCCTGAGTAGGCAAAAACCCAGTTCTCCACCTCCTATGTGTTTCTCCTTTAATCTCACACTACTACCAGTCACTCAGACTACTTCATTTCTAACACTTCTATCACCAAATGTGAGGGGATTTTCTCTGAACCAAGCAATTCTCCAAGACTGGATGTCCTACAACTTAACTCAACTCTGATACTATCTACATGGACATAGCATCAGATCCCATAGGTGGAGGGCTCAGTCCAATGAGACTGCCCCCCCCTTCAGATGCCAATCACAAGTAGTAGAGCCCCAGGTTACCCACAACTTCTTTTTGACTTGGCTACAAATTGGAGGTTCCCATGTCCATCTCTTCCTCCCTTGGGTTCTATTAATTTGCTAGAGCAGATCCCAGAATTCAGGGAAACATTTATCAGTTTGTTAAAGGGTGTGATAAAGGATACAGATGAACAGCCAGATGAAGAGATACATACAGTAAGGTCTGGAAGGGTTCCAAGCACTAGACCTTCTGTCCCCGTGGAGTTGGGGCACATCATCTTCCCAGTACTAGGATGTGTTTGCCAACCTGGAAGCTCTCTGAACCTCATACATTTGGAATTTTTATGGAGGCTTCCTCACATAGGCATGATCAATTATTAAGTCCATTTCCAGCCCCTCTCCCCTCTCTGAAAGATGAGAGGTGGGACTGAAAATTCCAAGCTTCTAATCATGGCTTGGTCTTTCTGGTGACCAGCCCCCCTCGAGGAGCCCACTTGCAGTTACCTCATTGGAAGAAAAGATGTTCCTAGTGCTCTTATCACTTAGGAATTTACTAAGCTTTTAGGAGCCCTGTGTGAGGGACAGGACTCAAAGACCAAATATTAGAACAGGAGATGCTCCTAATGTTCTTACCACTTAGAAAATTACAAGGGTCTTAGGAGGTCTGTGCCAGGAACTGCGAGCAAAGACCAATATATATATTTTCTATTATCTCACAACAGCCATGCCCATTTGTTTACATATCATCTATGGCTACAACTCAAGTGGACGGTTGAACAGTTATAACTGATGGCATTCAGGACCCACTACCCCAAAATATGGCACTTTGGCATATTGAATATTTTAAGCTGAAGGGTTTGAGAAAATGGCAGAAGCAGGAAGGTCACTTTGATCTTCCCTCTACTCTTCTCTTCTGAAATAGGTCATATACATCTCTTGTGAGAGGTGCCCTCCCTATACCTGGAGGGAAAGAGCATCCTTATTTCCAAAGACAAAGGGAAGCCAAGAAAAATCTGAACAAACAAGCCTTGCTAAATTTCCCCATTTACTACTCTAACCTCATACTCTTTGACCTATCATATTTCCACATGACTGCTCACTTCATCAAAGCTAGCATAAAAACAGTCAAGCCTAAGTGTTTATTTGGGTCTTCATTTCCTTAAAAATGAAGGCTCCCATGACACATAAAACTTATCAAATAAATTTGCATGACCTTATCAGTTTAATTTTCTGACCCAGTCAGAGATCTTAAGAGAGTTGAGGAAAACTTTTTCCTCCCTGACACAGTAGAAACCATATGGTCCACAAAGACAAAAATATATACTATCTGGCTGTGATGATAATTTTTTGTGTCAAATTGACTAGGCCACAGTACCAATATATTTGGTCAAGAACCAATTTGTATGTTCCTGTGAAGATATTTTTTATATGGGATTAACATTTAAATCAGTAGACTTAGAATAAAGCAGATTATTCTCCATCATGTCAATGAGCCTCATTCAATCAATTGAAGGTCTTAAGAGAAAATTGACTGAGGTCCCTCTAAGAAAGATAGAATTCTGCCAACAGACTGGTTTTGGAATCAAGCTGCAACATCACCCCTTCCCTGGGTCTCTATCCTGCAAGCCTACCCTATGGGATTTTGGACTTGCCAGCCTCTAAAATAACATGAATCAGTTCCTTAGAGTAAATCTCAATCTTTCTCTCTTTCAAAATAGCTCTCTCAAAATAAAAAGAGAGAGAGATCAATGCTATGTACATACCCTATTGGTTCTGTTTCTCAGGAGAACTCTGACTAATACAGATTTTAGTACTGAGAGTGGTTCTAAAGGAACAGAATCTTAAGGATGAATTTTCTGAATTGGTTCTGAGGTTTCTGCAATTGGTCCTTTAATCTGATTAGATTTAAAGACATTAATAACCCTATATCCAGTAGTAAAGAGAGCATTGATAGTCCACGGTATGATGTAGCAATAAAGATATGCAAAATATCACCTTTGGATACCCCAATCACATACTTACAAGAAACAAGGTTCTGGATGACCACGGATATGATACCCTCAAAACATTTTTCTCATATTAACAGCTGAAATGAGATTGGCTGATTATATGGCCTCATAGAGATGCCCTATGATCATATAACAGAGGAAGAGAAAACTCAGGCCTGCATGATATGCAGACACCACCTGAAAGTAGACAGCTCCAGGACTATGGTCCCTTTCTGGGATGTTCCTGAAGGAGAGTGGTAAAAGGAAATCCTTCCAGTGGGCAGAACTTCCAGAAGTGCACCTAATTGTTCACTTTGCTTAGAAGAAATGGCCAGACATGTGATTATATACTGATTGGAAAAGCTGTAGCCATGGTTTGGCTGGATGGGTAAGGAATTACAAGGAACATGATGGGAAAACTGGTGACAAGGAGGCCTACCAAAGAGGTATATAAATAGAATGCTCTAAACAGGCAAACAATGTGAAGATATTTGTGTTCCATGTGAATGTTTGCCAAAGGATCATCTCAGCAGAGAATTTTAATAATCAAAGGAACAGTATGATTCATTCCGTGGATACCAGTCAACTTCTTTCCCCAGCCACCAACGTCATTGCCCAACAGACTCATGAACAAAGAGGCCATGGTGCCAGGGATGGAGATTATATGTGGGCTCAGCAGCACGGGCTTCCACTCACCAAGGTTAACCTCGCTACAGCCACTGCTGAGACTCCAATCTGCCAGCAGCAGAAATTAACACTGAGTCCCTGATATGGCACCATTCCTGGGGGTGATCAGTCAGGTACCTGGTAGCAGGTTAATTACATTGGACTGCTTCCATCATGGAAGGGGAAGCATTTTGTCCTTATTGGAGTAGATGTTTACTCTGGATACAGATTTGCCTTCCCTGCATGCAATACTTCTGCCAAAACTACCATCCGTGGACTCACAGAATGCTGTATCCATTGTCATGGTATTCCACATAGCATTGTTTCTGATTAAAGAACTCACTTCAAAGTGATGGGGTTCAGGACATTCTATCCCCAAGTATGGCATCTTGGCATATTAAATATTTTAGTCTGAAGAAGTTTGACAAAACGACAGAAGCAGGAAGGTCATACTTACCTCACCTGCACCTCACCCATCTTCCCTGAAACAGGCCATAAAACCCTCATGTGAGAGATGCCTTCCCTATATCTGGAGGAATGGAGCATCCTCATCTCCAAAGACAAAGGGACACTGAGAAAAATCTGAACAAGCAAGCCTTTCTAAATTTTCCCCAGTTTACTGCAATTACCTCATACTCCTTAACCTATCATACTCCTCCGTGACTGCCCACACTTCAACAAACCTAGCATAAATATCCTCAGGTCTAACTTTCTTTAAGTCTTCATTTCTTTTTTTTTTTTTCCTGCCTTATCTCTCCAACCCCCCCCCCCCCCCCCCCCCCCCCCCCACCCCGTACATAGTTGTATATCTTAGTTGCAGGTCCTTCCAGTTGTGGGATGTGAGTCTTCATTTCTTTATTAAGGCTTCTGTGTCACATAAAACTTATATTAAAAAAATTTGCATGCTTTTCTTCTGTTACTCTGCCTTTATCATTTTAATTGTCAGACCCAGCCAGGGACCCTAAGAAGGTCAAAGAAAACTTTTTCCTCCCCTACAACAGCAAATGACGTGCAGCAATTGACCCATGTTCATGGAATTCACTCATTTTATCATGTTCCCCACCATCCTAAATCAGCTGGCTTGGTAGAAGGGTGCTGATGCATTGCCAGCTAGTGGCAATACCTTGCAAGGCTGTGGCAGGGTTCTCTGGGAGGCTGTACATGATATGAATCAGCATTCATTATATGATTCAGTTTCTCTGATAGCCAGGATTCACAGGTCCAGGAATCAAAGGGTAGAGATGGGAGTGGCACCATTCACTATTAACCCTGGTGACCCACTACCAAAATTTTTACTTCCTGTCCACACGACCTATGCTCTACCTGCCTAGTGATCTTAGTTCCAAAGGGAAGGATACTTCAAACAGAAGACACAACAATGATTCCACTGAACTGGAAGTTGAGACTTCCATCTAGCTACTTTGGGTTCCTCATGTCTCTGAGTCAACAAATCAAGGAGCTACTCTGCTGGCTGGAGTGACTGATCCTAATTACCAATGGGAAATTGGACTACAATGCCACAGTAGAGGTACTGAAGAGTATGTCTGAAATATAGGAGACCGCTTAGGGCATCTCATGGTATTACTATACCCTGTAATTAAAGCCAATGGAAAACTCCAATAACCAGGCAAGACTACAAATAGCCCAGACCCTTTAGGAATGAAGCTTTGGTCACCCCACCACATAAAGAACAACAACCAGCTGAGGTGCTTGCTGAAGGCAAAGGGCATACAGAATGCGTAGTGGAAGAAGTTATAAATCCCATCTCCAACCATGTGATAGTTACAGAAAGGAGGACTGTAATAGTGATAAGTATTTCTTCCTTATTTTGGTATGACTAAGTTTGTGTGGGTGTATGTTCATATATATCTTTGTTTTCTTCCCTCTCCTATCTCCTTATCATATAAAATAAGATGTAGTAACTTTTTATCATAGTATTTCAGTATCGTTAACTTTATATTATTTCACTTTCAGGATACCAAGGAAAAGAATCAACATCACTCAAAGACTGCATTCTATTCTCTTCTGGGGAAGGGGTGAGTGAGTTTTTAGTTTTACGCTAGACAGTTGTATCATGTTAGGCAGAAGTATGACATTGCTAGTGTCTTTATTTGGAAATGAAGCATGGATTAAGGAGATGTATATGGGTGCCAAGCTGACAAAGTGTGAAAATTATCATGTGATGTTCATTTTATGTGACAACTTGGCTAGGCCACAGTGCCCATATATTTAGTTAAACATCAGCCTGGATGTGGCTGTGAAGGTGTTTTTTGGATAAGATTAACATTTAAATCAGTAGACCTGTAGTAAACTGGCCTGTCAGAGAAAAAGTTTGCTGATCTCTACCCTAGTCACTTGACCTATATCACAAATTTGTCAGGGATTCCTGGTCAGAATAGTGTGATTAACAATCTTCTTCATTGTATTTATTCCTATGTGCCATACTAAAAATGCTTATTTTGAAATGTAAAGCCTAAAAAATATTTTTAAAAAAGAATGCAAAACATATAGACCAAAGGAATAGAGAGACCAGAAATAAATGTTTGCATATAGGTCAAATGATTTCAACAAGGGTGCAAAGGCCATTCATGGGGAAAGGACAGTGTTTTCAACACATGGTGTTGGGAAAATTGGATATCCACATGCAAAAGAAATGAAGTAGAACCCTTTACATAATACAGAAAATTAACTTGCAATGGGTCACAGACCTAAATTTAAGAACTAAAACTATACATTTCTTAGAAAACATTAGGGAATGCTTCAGGACACTATATTTGGCAATGATTTCTTGGATATGACATCTAGAGTACACGAAATAAAAGAAAAATCTTTGAATAGGAGTACATCAAAATTAAAATCTTCTGGTGCATCAAATCAAAGTGAAAAAGCAATGCACAGGGTGGGAGAAAATATTCCAAATCATAGCATATAAGAAGTTAATATCAAAAATATATGAAGAGTTCCTACAACTCAACAACAACAAAAAGAACCTTATTATGAAATGGGCAAAATACTTGAATATACATTTCTCCAAAAAAAGATATACCAATCAGTAAAAATCAGTATACAATGACATACCACGTTACACCCATTAGGATGGCTATTATGTTAAAAATGAAAAACAGAAAATAAACATTGGCAAGGATGTAGAGAAATTAAAATCTTGTGCCTTGCTATTGGGAATGTAAAATGCTGCTTCAGCTATGGGTACATTTGTATGTTGTTTCCAAAAAAAGTAAAAATAGGTTTATCATATGTGGTATGTATATATAGTATATACATACAATAGAATATTACTCGGCCTTACGAAGGAATGGATTCTGACACATGGCTACAACATGGAACCTTGAGGACATTATGTGAGTAAAATATTTCAGAGAGCAAAGTACAAATAATGAATGATTCCACATATATGAGATACCTAAAATAGTTAAATTCATAGAGACAGAAAGTAGAATAGTCATTGCCAGGGGCTAGGGATAGGGACAAATGGGGAATTGTTATTTAATAGGTACAGAGTTTCAGTTTTGCAAGATGAAAAAAGTTCTGGAGATATATAGTTGATGATATGACACACTTAATGCCGCTGAGCTGTACACTTAAGAATTGTTAAGATGGTAAATTTTTTGTAATATGTACTTTAGCACAATAAAAAAATAGTGCAAACAATTATGATGAATGAGGAAATTATTAGATTCATAAAATGCAAGTCCAGATGCAAATTTTTAAAATACTAAAAAGTGTCAGTATATTAAACATTTCCAGGAAATTTATTTTGGTTCTGTTAATAGCTTATAAGTTATTGGTAAAATATATATATATATTTTATCAACAATGAGTTCTGTTGAGAATTAAAAATAAGTAAAATATGTTGTTAGCCCCACTTTCCTGTCCTCAACCATCATTAGTCCATTGGTCCAAACATGCAATGTGCTCAAGTCCAACTCCCCTCCCACCAAGATTCTGGTTCTCAACTCCCTCACAGTTCAGTACCCACCACCATTTTACCAGATATCAGAAATCTGGTTCCCTGAAAGTTATGGCACCAAGCTTCCTTCCAACTCTTGATGACAAAGGGCATGTTAAGCTGTCCCTGATTCTTAGAGACAAATTTTACTCAAAATTATGGAATATAAATAAGTGTGTCTTTTAGCAGGAGGTTCATTAATTACACAATTCACAGGACACTCATGGGAATCTTCAGTGGGAAGGAGAAGAAAGAGTGCAAAAGGGAGAAAGACTATAAACAACACAATTCATAATATTTCTCTGCCTTGTCCCAAAAAGCAAACACCCGCAGTTCACTTTTCCCAAAAACAGGAAGGACCTTCTAATGCCTAACCTTAATTTGGGGCAACTTTTGAGATTCCATTAGTCTGAAAGCCCTCCTGTTTAAAACTTCCCGGGATTGCATTCGCTCCACACAGGCCACACACACTGGAGGTGACATATTCAGAACAAAGTGATCTCCAATTCAGTGACAGTGTGGGTCACTCCCCTTGGAACATTTCCTTCCCCCTCTTCCCTGCTTTTTCCCCAAAATGCTTCCCACTTCACTTCATGCTCAAGACAAGAGATACTCCCCATTCCTCCATGGGCCTTTCACATTCAAATCTAAGTTCAGACTCTTGCCTGCAGCCTAGAACATTTTTCTCTCCATGCTTGTCTCAGCTGGGACAGCACAACATTCAAGAAGCCTCTCAGGAGGTTTTTGGAGGCAGAGACACCTTAATATAAAACACATTCCCCATGCCAGTACTTCTATCTAGATTTCAAATAAACCTATCAATAAAACAAAATCTATCTTCCGCCAGAATGAAACCTCTAAGATAAATTTGTGATCTCCCATAACATACACACAAGTAACTGAGTGCCTGCCTTCATATGGGCTTTCAGCAAAAATAGTTTAATTGTATAAATCAGAGGTGAGCAACCCTTTTCTGTAAAGAGCCAGATAGTAAATATTTTAAACTTTAAGAGCCACAGGTCTCTGTTGCAACTACTCAACTTTGCTGATGTAGTGTAAAAGCGGTGATACACAATGTGTAACTGAATGGGCATGACTGTAGTCCAATACAACTTTACTTATGGACACTGAAATTTAAAGAAATAGTTCTTTTCTTTTGATTATTTTCAACTACTTAAAAACATAAAAATCAATTTCAGCTCACAAGCCATATACATACGGGGAGCAGTCGGGATTTGGCAATAGGTTGTCTTTTGTTAACCCCCAGTATAAAAGAATACAGTTTGAATCAGTCCCAAATGTGTCTCTATGATCTCATTCTTTCTCTTTTTCCAATTATCCTACAGAATTCTCCATAGCTTACCAGAGGACCACCCTGATGAAAATCCTTCAATGTATGCCATGCATCTTCCATTCTATAGGGCCTGTATACTTGTTAAACCCCATATCTTGCCTCTCCTTTCTCTCTCCATATATTTGTAAGGCAGGCCTTTTGCCTTTTTTTTTTTTTTTTTTGAGGAAGATTAGCCCTGAGCTAACTGCTGCCAATCCTCCTCTTTTTGCTGAGGAAGCCTAGCCCTGAGCTGACATCCATGCCCATGTTCCTCTACTTTATATGTGGGACGCCTACCACAGCATGGCATGCCAAGTGGTGCCATGTCCGCACCCGAGATCCAAACAGGCGGACCCCAGGCTGCCAAAGCAGAACGTGCACACTTAACCGCTGTGCCACCGGGCTGGCCCCATTGCCTTTTTGGCAGTAACTCTGATGTGCTCATGTTCCTTGTCTGTGAAGTTCCATCAAATCCCTCCACTTCTCTATCCTGGGCTCACCCCTGAGTTCCAACCCATTCATTGTCTTCCTTAAGAATCCCTTCCTGGCTACCCTCCTCAAGGCTCCTAAACACAGGATACTTAACTCATCATCCTCTCATAGACAGCAGATTGTCTGATCGCTTTCCCTCTCTTTTCCACATCCGCTCCCCACAAGAGCCATAGCTGTTTTGCCAACAGTTTCACAAATGGGCTTTTTGCCAAAAAAGTGAACTTTCAATCAAAATTACAGAACCAATGACTCACTGCTGGGAGATACATTATAATTAAGAAAGAAGAAAACTGAAATAAACTGGAAATCATTTAATATATCTGGCATCATTGCTAGTATAGACAGTGGCTTAGAAGGGGAGCACCACCAGGCAAAACTGAAAAACAGAAGAGGCAGTGGCTCTGTGGTGGTAAGAGATGGGCTGCAGAGTGTCATAAAGGCTGAAACTTGCCACTGGGACTGCTGGCAGCTCACAGGATATGGAGCTCCAGTCCTGAAGGTGAGGCCCTTACTTCTGGGGAACTGGATTCTTGTGATATTGTGATATATAAGAAATATATATTGGGGCTGGCCCGGTGGCTGAGTGGTTAAGTTCACAGGCTCTGCTTCAGTGGCCCAGGGTTTTGCCAGTTCAGATCCTGGGCATGGCCCTAGCACTGTTCATCAAGCCATGCTGAGGCGGGGTCCCACACGCCACAACTAGAAGGACCCACAACTAAAACATACACCTATGTACTGGGGGTCTTTGGGGAGAAGGAGGAAAAATTAAAATAATAATAATAATAATGATAAAACACTACTAACTTGGCCTAAAGTAAAGAGAAAATGCAAAAAAAAAAAAAATATATATATATATATACACACACTTGGTCTTCCTCCCCCTTTCTGCCATAGATCTCCTAAAACCGTTGAAATTTTCTGTAATCAGAACGATAAAGGCATCTTTTGTTATGTTGATGAGGTGACATTAGAAGTCATCGAAGGATGGGGGCTAGTTTGCTTGCCAGGAGAACCAAGCTGTCAGAAAGTTGGAACTTTCAGCCCTATCCCCCTGACCTCTGCAGAGAGAAAAACGGCTGGAGATTGAATCAATCTCCAATGGTCAATGATTTAATCAATCACGCCTGTGTAATGAATGGCTCTCTAGTATGTTCTCTGAAAAGAGTGATAAGGAAACTGATGCACAGATGGTTTAAGTGACTTGCCAAAAGTTCCATATCTTTTTTTATCATAAGGCTAAGAAA